TGGTTTGCTCTGAGGATCCTTCTATTAAAATTTGACAGCTATTTCTCATGGTTTCCAGGTTTAAAGTTTGTTCAAATTGTTTATTCTTCGGCTCCACTGAGTGAGAAAGCAAACAATCAGTGATCCAGTGCAGATTCACTGAACAAAGATCAAATTCACTGCATCTAAATTAAATGAAAAAACAATTCTTCATCTTCAGTGTAGCGAGAAATTACCATAGGACATTTGCCTCGAAATCTTTCGCGAATTGTCGATCACAAAATGTTTAGGCGCTGACCGCTTAAATCGGTATTAAATTTCTTATTACAAGCTGCGAAAAATTCAGAAATGTTCGTTAAAAAGTCCGAAGATTTCCTTTCATTAGCTTATCGGCAAGGAATGTTTCCACCAGAAGCAGGGAAAACCATTGGGCGTGAAGTCAATAAAAATACCGCACGCTGATTGGCTGATTTCGTCAAACACTTGTCACGATTTAAAAATAACTCGAAAATTACGTAATGCGTTTTGGTGCTCTCCCAGCGCGGGAATCTGAGAATCTCGAAAAGCGTGTGGCGTTCTCGCGAAGTTTGTTCAAGAATCTTGCTTTTTTCAAGTGGTTTGGAGATTATTATGGTGAAACCAAGCATTGGAGTTGGTTGATAACAAATCTTCTCTCGCGCTGGTGAAGTTAAGCCCCATCCGGCGTAATTGTTACACCTTACCAATGCTCTATGTTGGAATTTACACAACATGCCTACAGCCTTCGAACACGGATCTTATTTTTAGTGTTTCTTGCATTCTTCGTGTCTACGGGTAAAACACCGCTTGTTCTAGTCACGATTATTTCGAGATGATTCGGAATTTGGGTTCTGTGTTTAGTACAAAAATCCCGCCATTGATTTTTACCATTCCCTTGTTTTTATTTTCAACCCGGCAGGACTCACCGATACTCATTCGAACGCGTGCACGGACGAGCAATCGACCAGAAACAGGAAGTTATTCAATTTCCGAAAGTTTGGCAACGCTTCTGGGCTGGAACAGTGTGTGGATTTCTGTTGCAGAGATGACATATGCGAGCTGGCAATTTTTTCGCGCGGATTTCACTGTTATGGTGTGTCGTGCGACGAACCAGAACTTTGTCATAAAATATTGGATCGCTTGTTGATGGAAGATGAAAGGCAACTGGTACGGAGTACGAGAAATGCAGGTGAAGTATTTAGGAGGAAATCGCAGAGTTTGATTAATCAAAATGGTAAACTTCAGTTTAATGATAGATTTAAACGAAACTATCATAATTGTTTTCGAAGTTGCCACATTATCTACAACTATTAATATAAAGCAAAGCTTGGACTAAACTGTCAAAAACTCTTTTATCCAGGTAAGCATTGGATGAACACGTTTGATCGTTCACACGCCCCCAGTTCAAACGTCTTCATTCGACATTTTGCACGTAAGAAAACTATTCGATCGTGCAGCCTGGCCTGTTCATTCCAAACGGACACTGGAAACAGCCTTAGGCGAAAATTAAACTGCGGTTAGATATATCGTTCATGACCAAGTTTGGAGCCCCCCTGAAGAAATTTCGTTTAATGTTTATGTAGATTTATTTTTCTTCCTTTAAACTTACTAGCCTTTAAACTTAGTAAACGTTCCTACAAACTATAATAAGCAGGGTGTATGTTCTTGCGCTGATCTAACTTCCCGGGGTGGAAAGGGCGGTATGATCTTATTTGAGAGGTGTTCCCTGTCCTTGAATAACGAATTCCAAACTAACCAAGATAATCTCAATGCAGGATATATTTATTTTTCCATTTTCTTAAAAGAAAAAATAAAACATGTGATGTGGTCTTTACAAGTTTATCTAAGCGTAGTTCTTAAACTTGCAATGATTACTTATTATCTTTAAAAACGAAGGATGCCAAAATATTGGCCAATTGCAAGAAAGTATTAGCCTTGTCAATTTCGGAAAGAGAAGGATTCCAACAGTTCTCCTTAAGAAGACGAACTAGGTCTACCGAGGTTCTCTTCTTAAACAAACCATGTGAAAAAATATTGCTTACAAAAACGCCTGTCTGGTGAATTGTTTGCTTTACTGCATAGGTCCAAAGCCTGACCAACCTTGCACTAAATTCTGTGAGCCATCGTTTCGAAATTATGATCAGAAAAGTCTGTTTAAGTAGAGAAAAATAACAAAGAAGTGATTGGAAAATAGATTCCTGGATTTCCAGTTAGATAATCATCAATTATAAGCCTAATGAATTCAGTTATTGCAAACTTGATTATTTTAAGTCCTTCAGTTACGTTATAGTTAGCCTCTTTAAAGAATGTGAAAACTTTCATCGAGGAAGTAATGTCTCCGGCTTCTCATAGAAACCTTATCGAATACAAAAGCACACATTCTTAAAATCATTTTTTCATAATCGTTCAGTTTTACCCAAAACATTGTTATCGAAGGAAGAATAAAAGATGTTTT